ACACGCTTGAGAATACCTGCATACCTAGGTACATGCATCAAACCATGTCGACACAGGAAACAATACCATCAACTTTGATTTGATTCATTTCTCACTGGCTCGAGATTGCTTTGCTGATCAATTTATATGCTTTGCTATATCCTGCATAATTCATTAACGTGTTATCATGGATTGACTCGTTTACATCTTTCTATATAGGATATACCTATGTACATCACGTTGCAACGACATTAAATACATCAAGGCAATGCACCTCTTTCCCCTATTCTTGAGCGCCGTGTCTGTAATGAAGGGCTGAATATGCGGCTTATTGGTTAAATGACGAGGAGAACAAGGCAAACGCATCACACACCTGAGCGCATCAATGATTCCATACTAACAATTAATCAATAAGAAGCAATACATGAGAACTCAGATCTCGCCCAGACCTTGATCATCTTGCATATTTGGTACCATCATAAAAAAAGAGACTTCCCTCAACCGTGTTTCAAGAGAAGTGCAAAGGGTACGGGGTAAAAGATGGAAGAGATCCCCTACCTGTGAAGCTCAGATACATATGAATGAACTAACCCTTTTACGAATGTGTTCCGGAAACATATAGGGATCTATGGTACTTTGTACACGATATAATTTCGAACTGGAAACCTTCCTCGTCTCCAGCTTATTTTAAGCCACCGGTTCGTTGGATCTCCGTTTGATTTGATCAGATCATTCCATTCGCTGTCCCAGGTTGGTGCAATCTCCAAACCGTTTGTATTTGGTTATTACTATCGTCCAATGGCCTCATACTTTCGTCTTTTCAATAATTCGAAATTCGTTGCGCCGCTGCAATACTTCCGTGGGCTTCGAATGGTTTGGAACCATTCTGTCAATCAACGACCGTCCCAAGAACAAACCTTCTTCCGTTATCATTTTGATATGAGTTGCAAAGCAACATCCCATCTACATGATTTGGCCGGTTAGTTTAGCAGTATAAAATTCTCTAGTACCATTTGGTACCCCATAGCACAAGCATTACCTTTCTAACTTTAGGTACCTTAAGTACCACTAACTAATAGGCCATTCTGTCCATCCGCCAACCATCCAAGTGATTATAACCAAACGGGAGATTTGGTTTGGTTGCTATGCTATCAAACTTTCCCACTCCACTAATCATGAAACCATGACTGCTTTCCAAGCAGAATTGCCACCATCCAGATCTTATTTTCAGGTTTGGTCTTCAATGGCCATACCCATTGGAACAGTCCTGTTCGTACCAAACGACGACCGGAATTTGGGGTAAGTTTATGCACACAATACATGCACCGGACGATCATTAGGTCGACCAAATCATATCAAGGGCTGGTAACGCTGGACCATTATTTTCATAGTCGAGATCTTCAAAAATCAAACCGACCCGCAAATATAAACCCGCCAAGACTCTTCAAACTTCGACAGCCCCAGAAGTAAACCATTTGATGCCAGAATGGTCGAAACTTCCTAGACTTTCATCCTCATGACCGTTTATCCTCATCGAAGAATGGGGCTCTTTAATTTCTAGGTACACACAGACCTTTCCTGACATTTATTATTTGGCTGGGACATGTTTTGCTTTCAGTCTTTGAGATATCATTCCTCCAATCAGAAAGTAGGTTGAATGGGTGAACGGCATGGCAAGACGAGGATTTAGATTGAAGAACTGATGGACCCGACAACTCGGTACATAAATATCGTGAATAGTGTTGATATACTTGGTATGCATTTTGGTACTGAATTCATAACTTCGTAGATATCAGGTCTAGTAGTTTCAACCGGCAACCATTTGTACTAACCTCCCCAACTAGGTAGCGAGAGTCTATTACATACCATACTCTCGTACCGCGCCTTGCTATATCAAGTAATACCAATACCAGTCCCGCGCTCACGCGATGCCGCGCCGCTCCGCTCCACGAAAAACGCGATCCTACCATTCCATAGTACGCTACTTTAATGCAATTGTCCACACGCGATGACGCTACCTTACCCTAGACCATGATCCAAACGCTTTTCATACTCCACCCACAAGGACCTTCCTTCCTTCGTATGCAACCAGCATATCTTCATGCCTGATTCATTCCTTTACTTCTTCAATGGTCATAGATGACATATCTGACAATATATCTGGTGATGTGCGTGCAAATCAAGATACGCAATTGCAGAAATCAAGAAAAGAAACCATGGCACTTACGAAATCCAACGAAGATCCAGAAAAATTAAGGGTCCTGGGAAATCATTCCGATTCCTTCATCAATCAATCACACACCAAAATAATTTACCCGTCACACCACTCAAACACCTCATAACCGCAGTCACCTTCCAAGGCCTTGCGTCATGTCCGAACAATCCCCTCCAGGACTGTTCGCCGCTTGCTGCGTACATTGCTTATTTCCTTCGGCGTCAAGCGGATTCCCGGCACCTCGGCTGTACTTTATGAACCTGCTCGTGAACTTAACATTTGCTTCGCTGTGCCGTAAGCCCTCGGGATTACTTCCCAAGTTTCTCGTAACGATTATTGAATTTTTGCACTGCAGATGATGTGTATATGCTCGCGTGTCATTGGATACCTACGATATTGGACGATGGATGGGGAGGCATCTTGAAGAGATTTTAAAAACTCTTCGCGAGGATCCGCTGAGGTTGAACGTAGAGCCCCAGTACGCCGTCGCTTTTTTCTCCGCACGGAGGGTCGTGGGAAGGGAAGGTCGATTGGATTGGCTCTTTCGATGAGAGTCCAATCCAATGTGAAGGTATTCGAAATTCGAATAATTATGGGCTTCAGAGGTATATCTCGTGCATAACTACCGTATGCAATACACACACTAGCAAGAACGATCTCCTACGCCTCCGATTGGGTGGACACGCTTCACTTATGGTCCTTCAATGGATCCCCACATTCTTAGTTGTTCAGCCTCATTTTTTATGATTTATACAAGTTCATAGATAGGCTCATAAGTGTGATATCCAAGACATAAAAAAAACAGGCAAGTAAAGTAAAGCTCGGACGGTCACACAGACGGACTATCTAGCATACATGGCTACTATCTTTTATCTTTACGTATTCGCACGACGCTGTTCCGGATTTAGTCTCGGTCGTCACCCTCCTCTGGAAATCTCTGATTCGGGAAGATTTGCATCGTGGGTTTTCCGCTGGCTTCCGTTTGTCTTGTACGTTGTAGAGAGAGTCAGTAGGTAACTTGTTTGTCTTGGGTCGATCTCAATCTTTCAAGCTTTTTCTCTGCACGGAGGATTCAGGTTGGATGGATGGTCCTTGGTATGGAGTGCTGCGTAGTTCATCTGCTCATCATGGGTATGTCATTGAATTAGCATTGGGCTTTAGTAGCATCGCAACGTATAGATAGACTTTGGTGTCCTGGGAGGTTCCGACAGGATGGGGAGATTCCCGTTTTCGTACTATTTCTTGTACGGGTAGCTCAGATGTAAATTGTAATATAGGTATGCGATGTATGTACAGTACTCTCACTAGCTTCTTCACAGGTAAGCAAGGTATGGGAGAAAGTTAATTCTCGGATATTATTATTTACACTTCTCATCCAACCGTGTGCTGTGTTGTGTGTGCACTATCTGTATAGGTGTAGATGTCTTATCGTAGATACTGGATTGGAAAGTCTATGGTTGGAGCAATATCAATATTCTTTCTCCAGAACAGAAGCTGGTAGGTAGGTATGCAGGTAATTAGGTGATTGATTACAATTTCACACCATACCATCCCATCCCATCTCCCAATCCAATCGCCCCTCTTCGATCGCCTATCTCGATCTTCCCTCACCGTGTTGCCAAAATTTTCTCACAAATTCGCTTATGTACGGGGCGTGTATTTGGTATGCGATGTGATGTGATGGATGGATGGATGGATGATGTGTTTGTATGTATGTACATCGCATGTATGTATGTGTGTATGTGTGTATGCAGCAGAAATTTTCTTCCTTCCGCCTGGATGGGGGGATGGGGGGACGGTGGACGGGATTCCCAGATACGTACCAGAGGGATTGGTTTGCTTAGGTTGAGTTGAATCATGAGATAAATGAATGCCTTGGTCTGGGAATCGGGATCGTCTCCCTTGACCACCTGGTACGATAAACTCAACCACTAGTACGCCGAACACCTAAACCTAAATGCAAACATGATCTCTCAAAGAGGTATATAATCAATAAATAGAAATAGACAATTTTGCTGAAGAGCATCCACTTTTTGTTTCGGTTTCAGAAAGATATCCAGGTGCGAATTTAGGCTTTGTATGTTTTGGAATAGTACAAAGTAGATAGATAGGTAAGTCGAGTTTACACACATACACACATACATACATACACAAATAAGCAATATTCTCCATGCCATACCTACCGACTGAGGATCGAATTCCGCCGTACAATCGCTCACCGTAGATATGCAATGCATACTTACCTGGAGTAGCTTCTGAACACGTGCACCTTGAACAACCAACTAGCGTGCGTGCGAATTCCTCGCCCGGAGATCGGTGTACGCTGTCGCTGTGCATGAGATTTGCCTGGCCCTCACGCACCTACCTACGAATATATGATATCTACCTGCCTTATTGATGAAGATGCACATCTTCCCTCTCTCTCTCTCTCTCCCCGCATTTTGTGCTCGCTTACTGTGCTTGCATACAGTAGCATAAGCTGCACTAATGACTTTGGTGGTGCAAATAAAGTTATGCTATTTATGTAGCGTCTATGCACTACTTATCCCCGTTTATATTGTCGAAATGTCATATTGATATCATGCCTAGGTATACGTAGACGATAGATAGAACGAAGGCGAAATTCAATAATACATTTTTCGCCAATTTTACATGCAAAATCACATATCATCACCGAGTAATTAAATTCGTATGATTTGTAAGGAGGCGCGGGTTCGTATTTTTGCGCAGTATTATTTGTCCGAGTTTATTTGCATGTTGGTCTTCGCCTTACACATCCAATCTTCCCATGTACACAATAATAGCCTCAAATCAATACGGCGCGCAGAAATGGCTCAGCCTTCCAAGCCTCAATTAACCCTCTGATAAAAGAAGAAAGAATCAGAAACCGCGGTACGTACCGTTACTTACAATACTTGAGTGTGTCCCGACGCCGCGGCGCGGCGGATGCGAAGTGTCGGTCGCGGAGTAAGGGAGAAATGGATAATGTGGCCGGGCATATACACATCGGTGCCGATGCGAGCGTTGCGCCGCCCCCTGGATTTTGGCATGCGCTGAGGTGGGAATGCTCCAAGCAGCTGCAGAGTTAGTATCGAATCTCACATCATTTGGAGGGTCTCAGAGAGGGGATTGTACATGCTACGTAGGGGACCCGAGTCTCACAACACATACACACTACCTGCCTACCTACCTAACTGCGTAAACGGCTGTGCGAAGATGAATCATAATGAATGTAGGGAATCCATGAACCGAGACAGACAGATAGGAGAAGACATTCTATGATGAGATGATGTTGTAGTTTTTACCCCTATTCATTAGCAGATACTCTTGATCCTGAGCCCGGAAACCTGAGCAATAATAGGAGAAGCGCAGTGTGTTAAGTACACACTTGATCTGCATCACTAGGGAATTCCTGGACAACCCCTCCTTCACTCATAGTATGTAGCAGTCGCAAGACCGACTAGGCATATCCGAATTGGTGCCACACATCTCGAGACTCATATCACACCATGACACCTGAACCCAATAATCTAAATTAGCCCCCAAACACACTCTACACAAACGCGTGAACGCGTGGGAGTGGGAGACGTGATTTTTATCTTTCTCGTAAGGATGCTTGTTACAAGTACTTGCATATGCGGCTACTAATATCTTGGTACGCTGAGTGCTGAGCTACGCAAAGGGCATGCAGCGTGGGACAGGAGGAAACTTGGTTTGGGGCTGGAGCGCTTGGATGATGATGACATGATTGTAAGGTTTGTGTGTAGCAGGATTTCGGATTGTCTTTGAAGCCTTGATCTTGTGTGAATTGGTTTCTGGCCATGGTGAAAATGCGAGGCGGGGAGCGCGATTCATCTTAGCATGGATTCGGTTAGCACATGTTCATCTTGCGGGGTGAATGCATCGCTGGTGATGTCGACTTGGATTGATAAGGATAAGTTCCAGGGGAAATTCGATAGGCCTCGGTGCATCTAAATCTTCAATCTGTCGAAAGTGTATTTTGGATATCTCGATCAGAGAATCGAAATTATTTCCCTCGATTGCCGATAGATCTCTATACTATGAACGACTGATCTGCGAATCTTTCATGACCCTTTTTCTGAATTTCTTTTCCTTTTCTTTTTTTGCGCAGCGGGCATTTACCGGCGAGTTGGTAGGATCAACAAAGTCTTACGAGTTACGAAGCTGGGCGGAAAAGCAAAACCCGAGTGGACTCAGTGGAGGTCACTCCCCAGAATTCATCCGGCTCTTGGACTTCTGCAATACGGGATTTGTCAGGTCGTTGCGCCATTTTGGATAGGCTCTAACGAACCACTGTCAAAACTCATTGCATGGAGTGTACCGTTATGATACGAAATTGAAGGTTTTGACATGTACACCCTATCCCTCAAGCAATTGACACGGGCTGCAGACATCTTCCCCACGGCTCAATAGTCTCGTAGTCTGAGTAAATAATGATATCAAGTGTGAAACCAGTCCCATCGACTGCGCGACTTTCCTATTCCCGAGCGGGTGATTCAGGCATACATCGAAACCTTATTTCGCAAGAGGGAAAGTGCGATATGAAGCAGTTGAGTTTATACGGTATTTATAATAAGGTTCAACACAGGTCGTAAGATCATCGTAAGTGTACATGCAAGTCTTATCCCCGTTTCTATTACTGTGCCAGAATATCATAGTGGTGGGAGAGACGGGACTGCGAACAGACACGCGAAAATAACTACCTAGTGCAACACCTCTAAACAGTTTTACATGGGATCAACCCAACCATTTCATGCTAAGTCAATATGTCTAGTTGGGGAGCACGAAATTGTCGCGAAACCCTGATTACCAAAAGCCTCATCGCGAATCTCACACGCTACCTAGTTCCCAGACTATTTCGTTGGTAGATACGCAATGTTTGGGTAGTGTAATAAGTACGTACGTACTTTGGGGGTTACTGTGTGTATGCATTTATGTCGTACCCCGAGCGAAAATCTATGGGAGACTATGGGATAGGGTAGGATAGGATAAGAGTATGCCAATAATACGGCTCGGCGTATCTCATCTCACCCTAGCGTTTTCCTTGTCTGGAATGAATGGGGGTTCGTATGGGTGGCGTTGTAAGGCTAGGAGGGATCATTATGGTTGGGAAATAGTATTGCTATCTTACCATGACCATGAAATGAGAACCGGAGGCTGCTAGATGTTGGTACTGGAATGGGAAGGTGTATATTTAGAGGTGTGGTTTGCTTCTGGGAGTGGAGTGAGGTTCACTTGAATACGACATTAAACGGAAAATTTTGTCTAAAATTGATTCGATGGAAGTCATCCCCTTTTTCCAAGGTCTAAAGTGGTGGCTGTGGCTGAACGATGACCCAAATTCCTGACTCGATTATTTAATTGGACAATTCATTCATTACAGCCACACTTCTTGCAGGTATCACGTCCCTCCTGTATTTCCCATCCCATCTTTAGCATATTTATCCCGTCTCGCCATGTAAAATGGTATATTTCCCCATCCTATCACAGACTCTTAGTGCCTTGCTCAGGAGGTCCAGCTAGGAACTCATTGACACCAAAGATCCTACGACCCACACGGATATTGAATACCATGCCATGACTATAGTACCATACCTCATATCACGAAACGATTCTCTTGGTCTTTGCCACACCTTTGTTCCAACTCCCAGCATAAATCAATGAGAAACTTGCATAAACCCAGTCTGACGCGTGAAGAAGCAAAACGGGTGAGTACCTAGGTATCTTTAGAACGGAGAACAAGCCCAACGATGCGAAACTATCACCAAATCTACGCGCTTCCTGGTGAAAGTTTCGAAAAGCAAATTACCGTACATGTATACATGTATGTACCTAGACGGTGCTAATGGAAATGAAAAGTCCTGTCGCCCAGAAACTATACTCGCCACGGATAGGTTGATACAATTAGCAGGTTAGTCACCGATACATCCGGATTTCACGTTCCTCATAAGTATCAAATATCCGAATCACAAACATTTCAATTTCCATCAAACACTCTGCACATCTTTCTTTACTGGAATCGTCCTAGCGACTTCTGCTTCAAGAATCAATCACATGCAGTCACGTAAATTTCACCGATTGCCTATGCAGTATTAATCTAAGACCCCATCTCTCGGAACCGGAAGATCTTCACCCTAGTCTTTCGGGGCTTGCAGTGCAAACGAAATTTGAAGGTCATGGAAGCTTTTTGATCTCATTCTAGAATAAATGTTTTATATGCGCAGGAACCGAGATAGTAAAAAGCAAAATGCGTGCAGATTGATTGATTTGATTTGACCGATTAATAATATGTTGTCAAACATCAATTAATCAGGGCATCCCTTCCTTATTCTCTTTCGATGGATTGATGTAAAGGATGGGAATGGGGAATTAGGAGGAAATTGAGATTTTCGGGGTCCATGCAAATGTCATGTGCATTATACATATTTCCCAATATGCATATTTGGGATCAGTATTATGACATCCGCTGTTCTTCAATCACGACTCCACTTTTTGGGCGGGCAATTCATTTCCTTGCATTTATTTCTAATTCTATCCTGAAGAATGGATATACTGTATAGAGAGTGATGGGGATGATAATAATCGCGCACGACAGCTCATTTCATGCATCGTGCCTTTTATCCCCATTCCTCTGATCGACCGGACAGGACAGGACAAGATTACGTGGTACAATGGGCATCGAGCAGTGGATTTTGTAGGGTACGAAGTATGAAAGAAGAGGGGTAGATCTCGGGTACGCGTAGCTTCTTCGGGGGTTATGGAGGTTGTTTGCGAGAGCTGTGGGACACATTGATGGGATGAAGGCTGGGTTGTGATGTCTAGGTAAGATATTGTGCGTGGTTTCCTGCGTAAGGCAAAGTAGAGGGGCGAAAAATCAGAGGAAAATGTCTCTGCTTCGGTTAGGGAAGATATGAAATCTTTGCATTGTTTGAAATACCCGTCATATCCGATGAGTGCATCGCAAACAATGCTTTCTCTTTGAAATTGATTGTCAGCTGCCGCCTAGGAGTCTCTAGTAGCACAAACAATCTTCATTCCCGACGAGGAAACTTTGCATCTCTCTCTCTCTCTCTCTCTCCCTCTTTCTTTAAGGTTGCCGGGAAGGTCTCATGCATATATTGTAAATTACTCAGTGGTACGATGTTCAATATTGAAGCCTGTCGACTAGGAAGGCACTTTCGGTGGAGGATTGACAGGAAAGTTCGGCTGGCTGTAGTACGAAATACACGACAGACACCCCAAGGGTATGCCTGACATGTATCGTGGCTTTTGCATGGATATCCATCAGCTTGATGACTTCCTCTGGAGAGTGAAGATCGACATGTAAAGTCGAAGGAATTTATGCCTATGTACTTCCAAATAGGTTTTAATAATGTTAAAGATAGCTGTCAGAGATGCGCAACAGAAAAAAAACAATCTACAGCCTGGTAGCGATTTATCTGCTTCCAATTCTCAAATGTGTGTCTGTGTATTGTTTTGATCGAAATGTTTGTTAATGCACTTGCCTTGAAAATATAATATATATGCCTTGAATGTTCTGCGGCTGTCTTGATTCCCTCGATCTCAAATGAGTGGAAAACTTTTTCCATTGCATGAACTTTCTATACATTCTCTTTTTTTGTGAACTTTTCAGTCTACAAATTTACTTGAAGTGGTTGCTCAAACTGAATGGGTTAGAACAAGCAAGTTCACAAAGACTCATTCTATCTATCACAACAAAGAAAAATAAGCTGGCAAAGAATGTTGAAAGAGGGCTTCTCCCAGGAGTCGAGAAGAACAGAGATGAGCTTATTGACAAAGAAATAAAAAGTGCTAGCACCGTTTGCAGTCTTAAAACGATGCGCGATAAAGGACAAATTCATTTGGAAGTATTTTGGGTTTTTGGATACTTCTTTCCATGAAGAAAGAGCCACCACAAGGCAGAGAAGGCGGGAATCTTCGCCATTTCTACATCATAGACCGTGGCAATTAACTACAGCCATTATAGATACAACTTTTGCATGTATCTTTGATCTTTTCATCCATCTGAGACTCGGTAGTCATCGTATGTTGATGTATGTGCAAGAATTTACCCCGCGATGTGCGATGTTGCTTACCCTATTGTTTCATTGTGAGGAATGTTTAAGTTATTCTCTTGGAACAGTTTTCTTTGGAGAAGCTCAATTGAATGCAAATGGTAGCATAGCTATTTCTCTTGAAAGAAAAATTTACATGAAAGTAAAAGCTTGCACACAAAGAACATTTCAAGCAGGACTTCGACCCAATCCTCAATAGCAACCTCACGAATCTCAAGTTTTGTATCATCTGTGAGACTGCAGGCATTGATCATTATTAATTTTTGAAAAAGAAGTGGAAGCAGAAATTATCACAAGTACTTATGGAGGTACAACCAGAGGGGTAAGTCAAGATCGATGT